TTGAACTCATGATTCCTGCCTCAACATCCCAGAACATTGGGAGTACAGTCATGCACCATCCTACTCAGTTTATAAGCCTTTTCTTACCTCTTCTTTCACATAGAAGTCTAGTGATTTTTATGACAGCTTTTGAGTGAGTTTTATATGATATCTCAAGATGAAGCAAACATCAACAGGTGATACTTAACAAATATAAAAGCAAAACAAGTCAAAGACAGTGTGGTATCTGCCGGCCCATTACAGCTGCAACCGCCCACTGAGGTGGACAGAACAGTCAGATTAGCGCTACCCGAGACACAGCTGGCAGCCTATCTCCAGGACTCTGCCCAGAGGTGCAGAGACAGCAGAAGGCCAAGAAGCCTGGTTCTATAAACAAAAGTGACTAACCAACAAGAGATGCCATGAATGTGAAAACAAGAGAGGGAGCCAAACATGACCTAAGACCGTCCTGAGTGTCCTAAGGACAGGGGAAAGCATTGATCAGGTGATCAGTAGGATGTGACCTTGTATAGAAGAAGCCGGGAGGGGGGTACATTCCAGGGGAACCCTTGTCAGGGACTTGGTGGCATGTTCCACAAGTAGGAGGAAAATCATTTATGTCTTCTTTCCATGAATATACCATGATTCAATCAGTTCTTTAGTAAGAGGCAACTAGATAATTTCCAGCCATTTGTTTTGTCTTGTTTATTCACTTTGCATTTACCAATATGATACCATATCCTTATACATGTGTCCTGGCATTTTATTGGGAGTATAGCCACGGAAAGAGTTCCTACAAGTAATATTGATTTGAAGAGTTTTCACTCTCCTCTTTTATATAGAAAAATCAATGGAAGATTACGAACCAACCGGAAATTAGATGACCAAGTGACTCTGGCTTAGTATTATTACCTGTCTATAAAATTGTCAGCGGTGTGACACTGAGGGGAAAGTGTGGAGGGAAACAGGTATCAACACCAGTTGGATGGGAAATCGATCTCCTGTAGTCTTCAAATGCCTTGGGAAGCAGGCAGTGCTGTAGCGACCATATTCCAATGGAAGCAGATCTCAAACTCCAGTAGTATTGAAATCATCTGAAGGACTTGTTAAAATAGACCTGCTGGCTCCATCCCAGGGTCTCTGAGCCCACAGGTCCAGAGTGGGGGCCTGAGAGTATGCACTTCGGCCAAGTTCTCAGCTGAAGCCACGTAGCTGGCTCAGGCACCACAGTCAGAGTCAGAGACCCACTGAGCACACTGTTGTTCAAAGCAGCAAGTAGTTCAGGAAGATCCACCTAATCAGAGTCTGGATTTGGATTTGACCTGACTTTTTTGACTCCAAAATCTTCAATAGCTTACTAATACTGAAATTTCAGCCCTGACTGATATTAGAATCATATGTTCAGCATATTTTTTTTAAAAACTGATGCCCAGACTCACCCCAACCAATTAGATGGAATATTTTTGAGGACCAAGACACAGGAAGTTCTTGAAGATTCTAGATGATCCAGTGAACAGTGTTAATACTGAAATTTCAGCCCTGACTGATATTAGAATCATATGTTCAGCATATTTTTTTTTAAAAACTGATGCCCAGACTCACCCCAACCAATTAGATGGAATATTTTTGAGGACCAAGACACAGGAAGTTCTTGAAGTTTCTAGATGATCCAGTGAACAGTGTGAGTTGAAGACCACGGTTTTACTACCCTACCTGAGTGTCACCTAGAGATTGTGAATAATGGGTTCCCCCAGTATGACGGTCACAGGCTCCAGACAGAACATAGGAACTTTTCCCAATTGGTGTGGTTGTTCAGATAATGGGCAAATCTGCCCACAGAAGTGTGGAGGAAGTACATGTCTATGATGGCGTCTCATGCTACACACGTTCATTTAGAGTTGTCTCTTTTCCCAGGACCACATCAAGGTGATATAAAAAGCAGGAAGAGAGATAAATTGTCCCAAATATACTCCACTAATAGCTATTCTCTGACTTAACACCAAGGTACATACCTGTGGGGACAGTCTCATGCTGAGCCTATCTTATCACTTTCCCACTGTAACGTGGAGGTCACGGTTCAAGTTCAGCAAGTAGATGGCATCCCATGGCTCTGAAGAAAGGCAACCTTTTCTAAAATCTTTCCTCTACTTATCTGTGGTATTTCAGTGATTGACAAACAGACAAAAATATATTTATTTAGGGATTATCTATATTGAAAGTTAGGCATGGGATTTCTGTCTCTGTCAACACCACAGTCATATCAGCTATTTGAACAAAAGGAGAGGTATTTTTCCAATCAATCCTGAATGCTGAGGCTTCTCCAGTTCATATTCAGAAAGACATTTGGTTTTATTGATCGTGTTAGCTGAATACGTTTAAACTCCTATAGCCAGACAAAGAGAAGGTTGATTTTTCTCTTTATTGTAAAGGTTATTAGGAGGAAACCAGATATAGAAGTTATTTGTCTTTAGACAATCCTAGAATCAGAACCACTCAAATGTGTTGCACAAGTTTCAAAGCTGATGCTTCGCTGGTCTCAAGCCCCACACTGTTGGGTTTGGAGAGTACTCATTTCATTGTCTGAGGCTCAGCTTGTTTGAAGAAGACAATTTCTATTGGTGGAGATTTATTGTGTTATCCTGCTTTTAATTGACAAGGAATTTCTAAATTCCACCAGCAATCTGAGGATTAATAGCTCTGCTTGTGCTGTCTATAACCCAGAGCCCTTTTCTGTAGACTGTTACTTCTTAGCGTACTTTCTCAGCATCCTTTGCTACAAATAATAACCTTTTCTTAGCATAATTTTCCCATCATCTTTAAATCTGAAAAAGAGATGTCTAAAACACTCCATGGTAGCAAGTCTGTTGAACTTCTCTTATGTATGTATGTATGTATGTATGTGTGTGTGTATGTGTGTATGTATGTGTATATGTATGTATTTATTTGGGGGTATGTTGTTGGTTGTTTGTTTCTTTGTTTGAAACAGAGTCTTGCCCAGGCTGGCCTCCTGAGTGCTGGGACTACAGGCACATGCCACTATTCTGGGAGTTAATCTCAGCCATTTTTAAATATATTTCATAATTACATTTATTTATTTATTTGGGGGAGCGTATGCCACAGTACAAGTGTAGAAATTGGAGTCAGTCCTCTCCTTCTACCATGTGGGTCCCAGGAATTGAACTCAGGAACTCAGGTCCTCAGGCTTGGTGGCAGGTGCTTTACCCACTGAGTCATCTCCAGCCACCTTCTCAGTTTTTTACCCTGTGGTTTATGACTCAAGGGAATGAAACAAATCCCTCAAGCATGGCTCAAAACCACCAGCATTCTTCCTCCCAAGAAAAGCTCAGCTATCACAAGACACTTGTCCTGAGTTGTGTAGACATTCTGTCACTCATTGGAGAAAAGGACAGAAATTAGACAAGCCGTGATGGGCGTCTCTTCCGGTAGTGAAAATTCAGAATTTGGCAGAAACATTACGGCCAAATGGGTTTCCCAAACATCAGTGGTAAGGATGTGTATTTCTTTCAGATACATGCTCTCCGTCAGCTCCTTCTGGAATTTACCCCTTGATAAAATCGTGTGTCTCCAAGGACGGCCCTTCCCTTGCTTTCTGAGGAAATTGATGCAACTTACAGAAATGACCACAATATTTTTTAAATGAAGTTATGCAAATCTGATAGACTAAAGTAAATGTTTCATAAAACCAATGACTGTTTAAATCGTAGGACTAAATTGTTTGTATATAAATATTACCTTTTATATTCCATTTGAGTTTTATGTAGATGAACCCATTACTTTAATGACCTGCGTTTACGGAGGGAGACTGGGAGAGTAGCTCCCTGAAATCCTCGCCAGCCAGATGGCTGCCTTTTCTTGCATGAGATTAAAAGATGTTTCTCATTCACCATGATGCTTCTGAGGCAGATTAATATCGCCAGCTAAATTGCTTGTGTTTTTGAAATAAAATTTAAAGAGAACTTTTTTTAAAGCAATTGGTGTCACTGGTTCTCAGAGCAGATTGCTCTCCAGGTAGAGAGACATTCGGTAATTAATGGAAAGAATTCTGTGTTAATTGACTGCTTTGGGAAGGGAGATATAATGGCTCCTTATTAATCTTATCAAAAGAGATGTACAGCACCGAGGCCTCGCAATAATTGCTCTAACAGTAGAGAAATGTTAATTAATGAAAAAGAACAATGATGTAAGAAATTAGCTACATAATGCCTACCTCGAAGGGCAGTTGCATTTTAAACACATTAGAGTGGAAACCACAAAGTGTCACTTTAAGTAGGGGATGCTCAGAGCTTCTTACCCTGAATTATGTCGGGGGACAAAAAATATCTTACAGTACGTTTGTCTTTCTACTTGGAGAAGTAAAAATCATTCATCCAGAGCTACATTTATTTCAAAGAAAATAGCCCTTGTCATTCATCTCTGATCTTGGCTTTTTAAAATAAAAAGGCATCTTCAGACCAAAACAAGGTCATTTCTTAATGCCATTTAATTTCAACACAGTAGGGCCTCTTCTGACTGCTAAGGGCAAAGGAAACGGAAGGCAGTGCTTTTCTCTAAATGGAAATAAACAAATTCGGTTTCTGAATATTTCCTAGCTGATATAAAGAAAGACTTCAGATTCACTTTGAGACCTCAGTATGTTATTTTGGAGAATTTCATTTTACCTTTCTAGGAGAGCAACAGCTCCCTGTCTGTCTAACAAGCCATTTTTCCAGAAAAGGATGCTGAGTTCAATGAACACACAGAGACACCGTTGGAGCTTAGTCCCAGGCGCTTGGACTCAGGCAGAGCCAGGTGGTGGCCACCCTGATGGCTCTGTTCCATCCCGGAAGCTCCTAGGCAAGCCCTTCCCCAGGTGGAAGGCCCCTGGAGGAGCAGGTGACTGAAGGGCAGGTGATGCCAACGCTGCTTGCAAAGCGGGGTCCCAGTGTGGACCACGCGCTGCCGGCACCCATCCCTCGCAGGTGCGGGCATCCCACTGACCCTATCCTTCCTTTTCCTTCTAGGTGGAACGTGCTGGGACTACAAGGCGCCCTCCTCTGCCACTTCATCGAGCCGGTGTACCTTCACAGCATCATCGTGGGAAGCCTGCACCACACAGGCCACCTTGCCCGGGTCATGAGCCATAGGATGGAGGATATCGGCCAGTTGCCTGCCTCATACCGGCACAACCGGCCTCTGCTTAGCGGTAAGAGAACACTAACTAGAGGGACTGTGCCCTCCTTCCTGTCTGCGGCTGCTGAGCATCAACCCTGTGGTGACAACTCCCATCTGATCATAGTCATTTTTGCCCATGATTATTTCAGGCTTAATAAGCAAATTGACAGCAATGTAAAGACTTAAAAAGGACAAAAATATATACATGAAATGTCACGAATATCTCTGAATATGAGAATAGGCTGCATTTTAGCAGGAAATCAATGGGACCTGGAGCATCAATATGTTGTTTTCATTGCAGTATCTAGAGTAACCCTGTGTTGTCCACACATATATCACCCCAAGCACTGGGGAGGCATAGACAGGCCTATCCCTGGGGCTTGCTGACCAGCCACTCTAGCCTACTTAGAGATACTGAGGCCAGTAAGAAACCCTGTCTTAAAGAAAGAAGGGGTGGTGGTGAGATGGCTCAGGGGTTAAGAGCACTGGCTGCTCTTGAAGAGGACCAGAGTTCCATTCCCAGCACCCACCAGCTTCCCATAACCCAGGTCTGATTTTCAAAGTCACCTGTAACTGTAGCTGTAGGAGACCCAATGCCTTCTTTTGGCTTCCATGGGCACCTGCAGTCATGTGCATGTACCCACACATAGATACACACATACATACATACATACATACATACATACATACATACACACATACCCATGATTGCACAATATTGGAACCTGAGTTCAGCTACCCAAATGCAGTGTAAAAGTCAGACCTTGTGTTGTATATGTGTAACCCTAGCTGTGGAGAGGGTAGAGACAGGTTGGGTTCCTAGAGCTCACTGGACAGCCAGTCTTGCAGAAAAGGCCATTCCAAATTCAGGGGAAAAAATAATGTGAAAGGCAAGCAAGATGTCTCAGTGGGTTAAAGTACTTGTCACAGAAGCCTGGTGAACTGAATTCAATCCCTGGAACCCACATTAAAAAAGCTGAATTGACCAGAAGTGTGCATACAGAGTGCAAGAGCAGAAAGAAGAGAGGCGCTGCCTCAACAAGGCAGGAGAGAACTGATGCCTGAAAAGTTGTTTTTGGACCTCTACACATTCAGTACTCATATATAATGATGATGATGATGATGGTGATGGTGGTGGTGGTGGTGGTGGTCATGGTGATGATGGTGGTGATGACAATGAAAATAGTGGTGATGATGATGGTGGTGGTGATGATGGTGATGGTGGTGGTGGTGATGATGATGATGGTGGTGGTGATGATGGTGATGGTGGTGGTGATGATGATGATGATGATGATGGTGATGATGGTGATGGTGGTGGTGGTGATGATGATGATGGTGGTGGTGACGATGGTGATGGTGGTGGTGATGATGATGATGATGATGATGATGGTGATGATGGTGATGGTGGTGGTGGTGGTGGTGGGAATAATGCTGATGATGGTGATGATGATGATGATGATGATGATGACAGTGATGTAGTGATTACAAAGGTGAAGAGTGGATGAGGAAGATACCCAAAAGTTAACCTCTGGTCTCCACACAGGGCTGTGAATATGAATGTAATCAAAAACAGACATGCACCCACATGAACACAACATACGCGCATACACACACACACACACACACATGCACAGGAATTTTTAATTGTGTGAAATCAATGACTATGAAACAATTAGAGAAATTCAGGGCCACCTGAGGGCCATGCATAAGATAATGGCAAAGCCCATGAGACACTTTCCAACCCTTAAGCCCAGATTACTTCTGATGCCTCTGCATGAGCCAGCGTGGTCTAATTACACACATCTGTCTACATTTATTTAGAATATATATTTTCATTACTATAAAGATGCAAATAGGGCTGAACCTTGGTTTCTCACCTGCAAACAACCCATAAACAGTAACTTCATTGTCTTTGATGGACATTTAAAAATGAATTATGTAATTTTGAAAGGAAATTGTCCTAAATTCTTAAAAGAAAAAAAAAAGAAGAAAAACCAAGAGAGAGGGAGGATGAAATCTGGCATAAAGATAATAATAATAAAAAGCACACTCAAACAAGTGGATGAGTTCCCCTCAAGGTCAGTTTGCAGAATTGGCTTAGATGAAGTTCATGCATTAGTAGAATAGCCCTGAAATTTAGATGTGGGTAAATCTGTTCTGGGTTAAACAGAATCAGCCAGGCTGAAAAGGATACCTTTATTGCCATCGTCGTAGGCTACATATTAATGTTCTCAAAAACATACTGAAATATTCTGCATAAACCAAGCTAACCTATGGTCAGCTTCTGGACCGGAAGACTGTGAATGTATTGAAGCTGTTCCAAATGCTGAGCCCTTCAGAAAAATGTTCATGGTTGCCTGAAAGCAGCCAGGTCTGCCCTCAGACCTTCTTGTGAACTCAATAAGGTGAAAAAATTGTGAGAGAAATAACAAATAAAAAGCTATACTTCGAATACTCATTTTTTTAGAAAAATATTCCATGATAGAAAGTGACCAACAGCTTGTTCTACCAAGCTGAAGATAAATGTTTCTGTGAGCGTTCAACCTCAAGACTAACTCTTTCTTTCCCCATCAAGTAAAAAGAACACAGCAGAGGAAAAGATATCTAGATAACATGGTTGTGGTAGTTTGAGTAAGAAATGTCCCCTGTCAGCTCTTGTGTCTGAACACTTGGTCCCCATTTGGTGGCACTGTTTGGGAAGGTCATGGAACCTTTAGGATGTGGAGCTTTGCTGGAGGAAGTGAGTCACTCAAGAAGCCTTTGAAGGTTGATAGCCTGGCCCCAAGTTCTCTCCCTCTCCCTCTCTTCCTCCCTCCCTCCTTCCCTCCTCCCTCTCTCCTGAGTGCAATTTGCCCAGACAACTTCTTGCTCCTGTCACTGCCTTCCCTGCAAGCTCTCAAGTCTTCCCTACCATGATGGAATCCATCCCTCTGAAACTGTAAGCCACAATGAACCCTTCCTTCCAAGGAATTCGGGTCCTTGTGCAGCAAGCACTTTGCCCACTGACACACCTCTGCAGCCCCATTAACTAAAAATTGCATTTTAAATATAGTAGGCTCACTAGTTACTTAAGTTGCTTTTAGTCAAGGTACTTTAGCACAGCAACAGAAAAGTAGCTAATAGCCTGTTTAACAAATGTAGTTTTACATTTATTTATTTAGTTAGTTTTTTTAGTTATTTATTGCATACACACACACACACACACACACACACACACACACACACACTTGTGGAGGTCAGAAGACAGCCCACAGGAGCTGTTTTTCCCTTTTACCATATGGGTCCAGGTACTGGATTCTGGTCATTGGCTTGGCAGCAAGTGCCTCTGCCCCCTGAGCCATCTCACCAACCCTAGATGTGGTTTTTAATCTTGAACTTTCTAAGCCCACACCAAAAACAAAGCTATTATTATTTTTACAGCATACAGAAAGGTCTTAGCCGTGAAGATGAAATTTGAGACCAGAGACAGGCCAGAGAATTGATTCCTCGAGCCTTGAGTAGTTTGAGACTCTTGGTTTGTGTTCCTATAACGGACATTACTGCATTCATGCCAAAATAGAGGACGTCAGCTCTATGTCTTCATAGTACCTCTTGTCCTGAAGTGAAAGTGAACGGCAAACACATCTCAAAGCTCTTTCAGATGCCCATGCTCCTAACAACTTAGTCAAAAGGAAGTTTGATGATCATTAACATCTTAACCAGTGGGACATTAAGTTTTGCCCAACTCTGTCTACTTGTCACATTCTAGATATATCTGTAACATTTGTAGTCTTACTTGTGTGAGGGTATGCTTGTGTTGAAGGATTTTACATGACGTGCCAGTCCTCTTTAATTCAAGAGACATTTCTGAGATTAGTGATAATAGTTTTTTTCAAAATAAGTCAGTGACCTTGGAGCAAATACTTTTATATATAGATGGTTAATAATTTGTAATATCATTTTTATAACACAACAAATATGGGTAAAGGATGATAAAACTGGCAAATTTTCATAATTGCTTTGCACAAAACACACATGCTTTTTAAAACTACTGGGTGGCTGGAGTGATAGCTCAGTTGTTAAGAGAGCTTACTGCTCTTCCAGAAAACTGGCATTTGCCTCCCAGCACCCATGTCTGTCAGGCAGCTCACAGCCACTTATAACTCCAGTTCCAGCAGTTCTAACTCCCATCTTCTGCCCCCTATGGGTACCTGCACTAACATGCACATACACAAACACACACACATATACACATAATAAAAACAAAATAATCTTTATTAATTAAAGAAATTCATAATGGCACACACCTATAATCATATCACCCAAGAGGCTGAGGCAGAAAGACAAGTTTGAGGTCAGCTTAGCTTACAGAGTAAGACTGTATCTCAAAAAGATAAAATGAGCAGAAAAAAATAAAATTATTCTGTTGCCACTAGTCCAAGGAAAATACTTCTTTTTTCAATACATTTGATTTTTACAAATATCAACAATTATCCACATAATCCAGGCTTTTCTTTATTCACTCAACAAGGATGCATTGGTTACTTGTAAGTGCCACGATAGAGTGAAAATGCAAGGCAGAAATAGGAGAAGTTGTTTCAGGATATAAGCTGGGATCCAGCTGCAGTCTAGGGATAAGCAGGTCATTGAGAAAAGGACCCTTTGAGAAAGGCCGCTGGGGTCTTGATATCATATTCCCAATGTTTAAGTTCATTTGAAGTGACTGCTCAATTTCCAGATCTAAGAGTAGGCCACAATAGTCTTTTCTTCAAAGGGCCACAATAGTCTGTAGGATAAATAGTGGATAAATAAAGGCAAGCCATAAGGTAACTTAAAAGTCATCTAGAGCCTGGGAGACAGTCCAGTTAGCAAAATGCTTGTCACAGAAGCATGGGGACCAGAGCTCAGTCCCACACCCACGTCGGAAAAGCCAGGCAGAATGGCCAAGCTTTTACATGGGCTGTGGGGATTCAAACTCGGGTCCTCACACTTGCTCAGCAAGCACTCTTACCCACAGAGTCATCTCCCCCAACTCCCTGGATTTATTCTTTA